GTAAGGGGATATCAACAAGGTGAGGAAGTTGAAAACACATATTCTCCGGCAGGTAGAATGCAAACTCTAAAGTTATTATTATCGTATTGCTGTCAAAACAGTTTAATGATAGAACAAATGGATGTAGAAACGGCCTTTTTAAATGCATTCTGAAATATATGTAGAACAACCAGTAGGGTATTCAGATGGTATTAATAAGATTTATAAATTATATATAAGTCACTGTATGGTTTAAAAGAGAGTCCAAGATGTTGGTACGAATGTTTCAATAGCTCTATAAATGAGTTAGGTTTTCAAAGGAGTAACAATGATTATTGTTTGAACGTTAAAAAAGACAGAGATGAATCTGTATATATATTATTGTTCGTTGACGATTTGTTAATATGTAGTAAAGATAACGATAAGATTCGTAAAATAAAAACAAAACTATCCAGTAAATTTAAAATGAAAGATATGGGAAGAGTTAAGAACTATATTGGAATAGACATAAAATATAAATATGGAAAAGAAAATCGTATGACTCTAAGTCAAAAAAAATATATAGAAACATTGGTTGAGAGTTACAATCTCGAGAACTCAAAGCTAAACGATACTCCTATGGAAACAAACTTGAAGTTAGAACCTGCACTAGAACCAGATTTAAATGTGAAATATAGGAACTTGATAGGTTCTCTCTTGTACGTTAGTTCGGGTACGAGACCAGATATTGCGTTTAGCGTAAACTACCTGAGCAGATTCCAGTCATCCTACAACGAAACACATTTTAAATATGCACTTAGAGTACTCAAATATCTATATAAAACGAAAGACAAAAAGTTGACATATCAAAGAAATCATAATGCAGAAATTATAGACTGCTTTGTAGATGCCGACTGGGCTGGAGACATTGTAGACCGAAAATCTACGACGATCTGTCGTTTGTAAAACAGTTTACAAAAGACAGACATATATATCAAAGTGTAAATAATAATGTCAAAGAGCAGGTAATAAATACTTGGATAAAAAACATTCTACTGTACCGACATATTATTATAGAGATATAACAAAATCTATTTACCGATATATTTTGTATAGATACTGTCATACAAATATCACTCTCAGATTCAACATGAACAATAACAGAAGAACTTTCCACTTGCTCTTGAAATGTATAACCATAGTAAATAGGTTCAGATGGAGAAATTTCCATTAATCTCTTTTCTCCTGTTCTGTACAAAAACAAGTACAAAACAATTCTCATTTGCTTATTTTTCCGAACAGCATAACAGATTTACTAATATATTTTAGACATTTAAGACAATATGTACCTCAAATAAAATTGTGTGTCCTGTGTTACGTTAAGCTTAAATGAGACATTTTTATGACTAGCAGTGTACAAGCTAACTGTAACAAATTCTTCTTGTTCATCTCCTTGTTTGTTTTGATAATCTTTTGTTGAACATAGAGTTCGACTAGTTTTATTATAAGCTACATCATTAAAATGCATGCTATCTACGACAAGAGGAATCTGCCATGATAGAATTCCTTTCTTTTGACGCACAACCACAATAAGAGGCAGGTCATGAGTGGCATTGCTTTCAACTTCAATTCTAGTAGAGTCCATCCATTCTTTCTAAATATACCAAAATGTAAATAAACTATGATAAAACCAATTTATGTGAAACAATGAAATACTTACATTGTTAGTACGGTATAAGAAAACATATTCAACTGTGTTGTTTATGGCAAGTTGATATTCTTCTTCATATACTGCCTCGATAACGACACGAGATAATGATAGATTTCGTAAAGTAATAACTCCATGAAGATTAAACAATAATAATACAGTCACTGTCAAAATTCTCTGAATACTTAACATTTTAAACATTCATACCTAAACACAAAGTTTTGAATAAATATTTACGTAGGTTCTACTATTTAAAACCCACAACGTACTTACTGACTACTCGGAGTGTCAACTTATGCGATAATAAAAGACGAGCATTGAATTCAATACTATTTCTTTCTATGATTGGTGATAAACATTTGACACTGTTGATACTAACGGTATTACGAAATATATCTCAAACTATAGGTTCGAAAGGTTCTGCGTTCGAATTCATCATTCATTACACACTGAATAGCACTGAATCTCTCGGGCTTGGGGAAAAACCGATATCATACAAATAACATCTGGAGAGTTGACTATTGTTGGTTGCATCTTTAGTTACCTTATTCAGATTGATTCTGTTACGCTATCACGTGAACTTAGCTTCATGGCATGTAGCGCCACACACGGAATAGCGCAGGAGGTAAACTAGCGCCACTAACGGAGAGGAGGTGAACTACTATATAGTAAGCTGGCGCCATCAACGGACAGTAGGAGAACTACTAGATAGCTGGCAAAAAATTTGTATGACAATATGGCTGCTTCGCTTTCGCGCTGTCCACTGCAGCGCTGCTGTCGTCTCTGCTGCGGTATTGTGCCAGTAGTCTAAAGACGCTTTTCAGTATGGTTCAGTATCGTAGTAAGTTTAAAAAATGCCCGCGGTCATACATTTTTCTTTTAACTCTTTCAGTGCTGGGGGCCGATATATCGGCCCTTGCTGCACTGGTGAGAAATGCCAGAGCCGATATATCGGCCCGAACCTTGTAGCGTTTTACTATTCGCATTATGAGAGAACTCTACTATATTGTCTGTATATTGTATCTATAAATATAAATTTAATAATGGGAAATAAGCAACATATTTATAAAACTGTGTTATACTTGTATTTAATTTTCACATTAAAATTCTTTTGGAATATGGGGAATTGTTAGAAGATAACATGCTAAAGTACATATGTATAGGGAAACGATGATAAAATGATTATTACACAGAATTAGTTCCGTTTTCTTGTTATTTACAATTTTACCCTCGGACACCGGGCGATCGCACCTACGACGGAGCCGGGACACTATTCAGGCATCGAAATTCAAGTCCATACGCGCTACAAAAGAAGGCTTAAATCAAATTTTTATATGTAAACATTATAATCATATTAATAATGCCTTGAAACCAATTGTTTTTGTTAATATTTTGTCCCGAAAACTACTTCTTTTGCAATAAAGTTCGAAACATTTCTGTCGCTAACAGTTAAAATAGTGGGGAGAGCTGATTGGTACGCATCGAGTTACAATGTAAACACATGGCTCGACACTCTCGATCACAGAGGAATGGGACTTCGAAAAACGACGGAAAAATGACCCAGGCCCGGTGCCGGAGGGTTAAGGGTGCGCAGGAGACAAACTAGCGCTACCAACGGAAAGTAGGTGAACTACTAGATAGTTTTTGCCGTTTTTCAGGCACAATAATGAAAAAAATATATCATAATTATGCATTTCGTAATCAGGGGAAGTAAATCTATCGTCTCGTCAAGCGTTTTTTTGAAACAAATTGAAAAAAAATGTCTTGTCTTTGAACGAATTTTTAGCAAGTTTCAAAAGCGAAATTGCAAAATGTGTAACTGTCCCCTGCAACGGTATTTTATAAGGAACAGTTTAAAAAAAAATCAGCCGGAAAGGTCGCTTCCTCGCCTCATAAAATTACAATGGTGTTGTCGTTATGAAATCGAGAAGACTGATGCGCTTGCACAATGGCTTGAGTTTCACGCTCTCCACCACAGCACACCACAGCGCTGGTGTCGTCTCTCCTACTGCTGGTGTGCCGATAATCTAAAAATGCGTTTCAGCATGGTTCAGTACCGTACTAAAAGTATGAAGCGCCCGAGCTTATATATTTTACTTTTGCATATAAATATATATATATATTCAATATTATATTATTAAGAGACGTCATGTATATGTTAAGGTTGTTATATTGGATTGCAATTAATTGATACAGAATAGTCTGTTACGATAATTTCAAAGTAGTAAATAATAAACAATTGATATGATATTTGTGATATGGTACGAACATAATAAAGTACTAATTGTTATTTGTGGAATGTAATGATAGTATGCAATGTAAAAAATATTGTATAATAAAAAAGGTAAAACGTTTATGAACATTATTTTTGAATATACGTAATTACATAAGA